GGGGGGGGGAGAGGGAAGGAGCTGGAGTGGAGCGGAGAGGGGACCTGCATGACTGCATTACTCCATCCCTGTCAATAGGTGAGCCCCCTCCCGGCCCCATAAAGCCACCGGAGTCGAAGCTGGCAGCCTCTGCTGTCTGAGTTCGCAGCTGCCAGCAAGTGTGCTTGGAGCGGGGCTGCGGAGGACGGCTAGGGCTGCCCCCCCATGCAGCCCAAACCAAATTTATGTGCAGCCCAAATCAAATTTTCATCTTCTAATGTGGCCCAGGGAAGGTGAAAGGTTGGACACCCCTGGCTTAAAGTAATTCATGTTACAATCTTAATTCAGTGCTCAAAGAAGAAACATTTCAAGAATAAGTTTTAAATCATCTTTGTTTCTAAAATCCAACTTAAATGTCTCCTTTGAAGCTTCTCTGTAGCACTTTAGTTTTGATCCACTAAGCAAAATTTATAATTATTAAATTCCAGAAGGGAGGAGTCTTATATATACCTCTTCTATTATTTTGAATTTCAAATTCTGCATGCAGTAAGGTTAGCTTGCATCACTTGTTGCTTTGTGAAGTACTGCTTGGATCAAGCAAGCTACACTCTTGCTCAGCTGGCATTATGAAGTTTCACTAAACTAATCAGGAAATCATATTGTACACCATAAGGGGAGGGAGGTAGACCATAGTAGTATCTTATCAAAGTGTGAGATGTGGGTGTTCTGTGAATCTTTCTGGGACTTCTGTCTGTGAACCTACCTCTGGAGTTAAAGATTCTATTTACAGAACTCCTAGAAGTACTTCTGTTGGGGACAGGTTTTATATAGTGTATTTGCTGGCGCATAAGACTACTTTTTTGCCCTGAAAAACATGCCTCCAAGGGGGGGGTCATCTTATACACCAGGTGCACTTCAGTTGGGATAGACATAGCTGCCCATAGTGGCCTTCCGATGCTCGCCCAGTGCCTATAGTAGCCTCCCGATGCCCGCCCACCTCATTCTACATACCGTCCATTATCGCGCAGTATGCAGTGCAGCTGCGGCGAGCACCAGCAGCGAGACAGGGGTGCCAGCCTTTTTGATGTGACCGGCCTGTTCTGCTCTGCGGGAAGCAGCGGTGCTCCGGCCCGCCCCTTGTCTACGCAGAGCTCACACATGCGCACTTGCACACTAGTGCCGGTCACAGGGAGATGCAGGGGCGGACCGGAGGCACTGCGGCTGCACTGCAGCCATACAATGGTGACAACGAATAGCACCTTTTATTTGGTGTGTGGAAGGTGTGCGGAAGAGGGGGTAGTCTTATACGGCGAGTATGTAACAAACTATATTTTGAGTGGAAATGTTGGGGGGGTCATCTTATACCCCCAGTCGTGTTATACACTGGCAAATACGGTACCTCCCTCTCCCAATGCATGGAAAGAAAACAGAGGCCTGGCCTCATAACTGCATAGGGTAAAGTTGAGTTAGCCCTTAATGGACGACTAATTCAACTAGTTGATGCTTAATATTCATCTCCTAGTCATAAGACTACTGCAGCTTCAGAGCATAATGCACTTCCTTATATCTACAAAAAGATATGTAGCTGCATTTTGAATTTTTTAGTAGGCCAACCCTTTTGACTGATGGAGTGTCTATGCCATCTTAGGAATGTAAATATAAAGCAAAGACAGTAAGAGATATTCCAGTTTAATTAAAATGAAATAATTCATTGTGAGCCTCTCATGTTACCTGAGCAGAATCTGTAGTGAAACTGCAGAAACTGCTTCAAAATAATGTCAGTTGTGGTAGAGTGTAGCCTGCTAGATTCAAGCAGCACTTCATGTGAAAGTTCAAGCAAAATATTGGCTATATATTCAACAAATGCTTTTCTGATTCCTGAAATTAAAAGGGCCCTTCTGAAGAATCCAAAAGTATCCCCTCCCATATCCATTCACTCTTTCCATGAAAAATCCAAGAATGTCATGCATAGCAGGTAATAGCTGGAAAAGTTACAAAAAACTCAAAAAAAAACCCTCCCATGTAGCAGCCTTAAGTGGCAGTTGGCAAAGCGAGATCATGTGTCACTTCCATTCTCAAGATTAATATTTTAGATAACTAAATAATCCTTCTAGAGTAAACTATTCTAGTCTCGTTGGTCTGGGTACAACAGCAACCTCCAAAAACTGCGATACGAACTCTTTAAGATTCCTGTGCAAATGTAGTGGAATTGTCAGCTTTGCTGAGTCTTCCCGAAGTGAACACTTTGGTTGGTCTCATCTTTGGTTGGGCCTCCAGGAGGTCGGGTCAGCGAGGACCAAAGCAGAGACAATGGCAACTCTGGCTGAGGCTGAGAAGGAACGCCGCCTAGAACTCGACAGGCAGCTGATGGAGCTCTCCCAGAAGCAAGATGAGCATAGAAAAGACCACGCTCTTCTGGAAACCTACTGTGTTTCTTTGGCTGAGAAGGACAAGTATGTGTCTGTGGGTTTTATTGTACCAATTTAGTCTGTATCTGTTATTCCTGAAGCAAAATCTTCAGGGAGGTTTTTTATTTCACATTCCTTGGAGCCAAGATCTGCATAAAATTTGGGCCTCCTTTTCTGATCTGTGCTTAATTTGTCTCCTGGTAGCTATCAGGTCATTTATCCTTTCACGTCTTTTGGTTGGGGAAGAGAATGGGGTGGGGGGGCTGGGTCCCAGAGTAATTGTGCTGCCGTTCCATTGTCTCGGGTGTACTGACACGGTCCACAGCAAGTGGCCACGGCAGCGACCTCCTAGTTGTGCCTCCTGTATGGATATTGTCGTGTTTCCTCACTTGCCTCAAGGTAATCGGTCCATTTCTCCTCTGCAGGAAGATTGAGGAGCTGACGAGGAATCTGAGAGACAAGGAGCAGCTCCTGGGGCTGCTGTCAACAGAGAAGCAGAATCTGCTGCAAGGCCTGGAGGAGCCACAGAAAATGGAAGTACAGGTAATGCTGCTCCTGAAGGCCCTCAATGCCTACCCTCTACAAAGGCAGTATTAATGATATTTCCCCCCATCATTTCACCCCCTGTTGTTTGCTGCCAATAGAATGCAGCCTTGAATAAATTTTGAGAGACTAAAGAAAGTAAAATAGAATGATTGAGTGAGTAACCAAGTAGAAGAGGGCAGGAAATTACTGCAGTTGGACATACGTTCCCAGTACTGGACATCTATATCTCCTCCAGATGTCCGTTTCTGCTTGGAAATTGTTTAAGATACTCTGATAAGAGGCTGCAACCTGGCATTTCTTGTAAACTGCATTTTGCCGGCTTTCAGGCTTGCACCTGCCATCTCCTCTCCCCTTCTCATCGGCCCAGACTCTTATGCCTCTTTTTCCAGCATGAGAACTTTGATGCAATGAGGCAGTTAAAGGAGCAAGCGTCCCAACAATCCAGACAGAGAGACCAAGGTCCTTCTATCGCAACCCAACCTCCATGGCCATTTAGCAGTTTTCAAGGTTCTATAATAGAAGCAACTTTAGAAACAACACTCCCAGATATGGCCTTTGACTACTATAAAGTGGAAATACATTTAGAAAATGAAATATCAGATGTTAAATGAAGTACAGTGGTGCCTCGCTTAACGATTTTAACTGGTTCCAAAAAATTCGTCGCTAAGTGAAAACATCGCTATGCAAAATGCGGTTTCCCGTTGAAATGCATTGAAAACCGGATAATCCGTTCCAATAGGAATGAATTGTCATCCTTAAGCGAAAATCGCCATAGGAAACATAGCTAAGCGAAACACAGTTCCCCAACTGAAATGCATTGAAACCTATTCAATGCATCTCAATGGGGGAAAAAATTCAACAACAAATTTAAAAAGAGTCAGAACAATGTCAAATTTGGTTAACAAAGGGTTTATTAAGTGCACTTTATGATTTCAAACATTTTAAACGGTAAACTTTAACTTTGTAACATTTAAAAAACAGCAAACATGAGGCTGTTTAAACCATCATTAAGCGAAACAGGGGACCCAAAAATTTAATCGTTATGCAAATCATGGTCCCAGCCTTTTAATTGTTATGCGAAGCATGGTCCCAACCTTGCTAAGCGAAAATTGCCCATAGGAACCATCGCTAAACGGAGCGCAAAAATGCTTCAAAAAAGTCATTGCTAAGCGAATTCATCATTAAACGAAGCGCTCGTTAAGCGAGGCACCACTGTACCATATATATTAAGTTGACTATAATACTATGGGCCTTTCAGGGCTGTATAAAATGTACTCCAGCTACATGTTACCCCGTGGCATGTCTGCAGCCCATTCAATCTACACATAATGGGGGAGAAAATGACTCTTATTGGTAGAGCAGTGCTAATTTAAGCGGTCAGGCTTAAGCATACAGGACCAAGTCATGAGGTGGAGGTTGTGCACACATGAGTATATTTACATACACATACAGTGGTGCCCCACATGACAACGATAATCCGTTCCAGCGAAATCGCTGTACAGCGAAATCGTCATCATGTGGGGAAAAAAACAATGGAATGCATTGAAAACCAGTCAATGTGTTCCAATGGGGGAAATACCTGCTCGTGCAGTGAAGATCCTCCATAGGGCGGCCATTCTGCGGTCCCTGTCTTGCGAAAATAGGTCAGCAAAACAGCGGGGAGCCTTTTTGCGAACTGCCAATCAGCTGTTTTTAATCATTGTAATGTGAGCAATCGGTTCGCGAAGCAGGGTCCTGATCGTCGTACAGCAAAAAAGCCCCATTGGAACCATCATTTTGCGATCGCTATAGCGATTGCAAAAAAGGCATCATCAAGCGATTTCATCATCAAGCGGGGTCGTCGTAATGTGGGGCACCACTGTATAAGAAAATGACCATTTCCTCATCTCCTGGTCCAAAAACTCTAGGAGGAGAACTAAGAGAGGGCCCCCATCTCAGAATTCTTCAGCAGGATCTCTAGGATTGGGCCAGGTGTAACTTTGCCCCACTTAAGTAACTAGGCACCAAACAGATCAAACCTAGTGTCAGGAGGCAAGACAGAGGTGCTTCCAATCAGTTGAAAGGCAGTTCAAGGAATATGGTTTCAACCTGTGTTGGATAGGATTACACTCCCCATGAAAACACAGGTTCCCAGTTTGGATGTGCTCCTGGATTTGTCCCTGAGCCTGAATGTCCATGTCTCAACAGTGACTTGGAGTGCATTTGCACATTTTAAACTAGTATGCCAGCTGCACTCATTCCTGGAGATGTCTTGACTTGGCTGTAATGACACACGCCTTAGTTGCACCCCATTTTAATTATGTTAAAGTGCTCTACATAGGGCTGCCTATGAAAAACGGTACCATAAAACTTTATAATGATTATTTTATGAAATTTCTATTTTTAAGAGCTATTCATACACAGTATACATATAATTTGTATTTAATAATTCCCATTATGTATTTTTGTTACCAAATTTTATCTGATCTGTTGATGGTAATAAAGGGATGTTTGGAAACTGCAGTGGATCCCAAATGCTACAGCCAGAATGCTAAATGGAGCTAGTTGCAGAGATCATGTAGCTCCCCTGTTACAACAGCTTTATAGGCTGCTGGTGGTCCATTTCTGGGCACAATTCAAATCTTGGTTTTTGGCTTGCAGTACATAGCTTCAAATGACATGGGTCCAAGCTACTTCCCTTTATGAGCCTGCCTGGGTTTTAGGTTCATGAGGAAGGTCTTTCTCTTGGTCCCATCACCCTCACAGGACCATGTGTTTAGGACACAAGAGAGGCCCTTCTCTGTTGCTGCTCCCAGACTGTGGTACTCCCTCCCACAAGAGGGTGGATTGGTTCCTTCTTTGCTGTCCTTCCACAGACCATGGGTCCAAGCTACTTCCCTTTATGAGCCTGCCTGGGTTTTAGGTTCATGAGGAAGGTCTTTCTCTTGGTCCCATCACCCTCACAGGACCATGTGTTTAGGACACAAGAGAGGCCCTTCTCTGTTGCTGCTCCCAGACTGTGGTACTCCCTCCCACAAGAGGGTGGATTGGTTCCTTCTTTGCTGTTCTTCCACAGAGAGAGGCAAAGACTTCTCTCTTCAGGCAGGCTTCTTCTCAGTGGCTGGCTGCCTAGGAGCTGGGCTGCTGTTTTAGTTTTGTTGGTTGTTTTTTCCCCTCCCACTTATTGTTTGTTTTTAATATTGTAATCCACTTTGAGGCCTCTAGAACAATGGTCTCCAACCTTGGGCCTCCAGATGTTCTTGGACTACCACTCCCAGAAGCCTTCACCACCACCTCTGCTGGCCAGGATTTCTGGGAGTTGAAGTCCAAGAACATCTGGAGGCCCAAGGTTGGAGACCACTGCTCTAGAGGAGAAAGGGTGTGTGTGTTCAAACAAGCAAGCAAACAAAGAAGGCCATGACTCCCTTCTTTGCAGAATGACTGATTTCACAACAGTCCATCCTTAGGAACAATGAAAGTCCATCCTAGGTGCCTTGCGTTGCAGCAAACTGCTTTCCCAAAAGAGTGCCAAACAGTAGATTAATAGGTACTCAGGAGTCCTATCAGAGAGGAGAAAATGGCACATGGGATGATTCTCTTTGTGCCCCCAGCATGATTGGGCTTCTGACAGCTGTGTGGTCGGCTGTAGAGCATCAGATAATATTGAAGACAACAGCACCAGGAGAGGCATCCTTGATCATCCTCTTCCTTTACTCTTGTAGACGAGGGTGGGACACCATGGCCAATTTGCACTTCCCTGGCATAGGGCCCTTCCACCCTTACCAGATTTCTTTAAAATGGGGCCAATATGTTAAAATGTAATAGTCTTTAAGGTGCCATCGTGCTTTTCTCTCCCTTCCTCCCCCCCCCTGCCACTGCCTTTTGTTTTCGAAAGGGCTAAAACCAACATACAGTTGTTATTCATTTTTCACAGGTCATTACACAACCAGGCTTTGGTTTGGTTTGGTTTGGTTTTGGAAACAGTGTTGCCAGAACTCAAAACTGCAGTATTTTGTTGCAAGAAAAATATAATCCCACTTCCCATCTATAAAGTGTTTGGGAGTAAGCCCCGCTGAGATTTCTGAGTAGACGTCTGTAGGATTCCACTGCTGGTGTTTGTGAAATTTCACTGGAGGAGTTTAACAGGCTTATTTCACAGCAAGCGCTAGGGACCTGCGAATCACAGGAGTTGCAATGCGATAATATCAGGGGGCCCTTGTGCCACAATTTGTGATCACGGTGATGTGCTGCTTTGTGACATTTTAAAGGGGTTGCTGTACTACTCAGTTTCAAAATAATGCAAATTTCTAAGATTGTGTGCATATGCGGCAAGAGGAAAAATGCCTCTGTCTGTGCTACTTTTCTCTTTTATTTTGTTTTGCTGATAAGGCAAGTCCTTTCTAGTCTAGGAAACAAAGTAGCTAATAAGAGTATGGCTATCTTTTGGGGGAGTATCTGTGCCTCATAGGAACAGAATATCACGGTACTGGCCATCTCTGTGATGATGTTAAGGGAAAGATCAAGACAAAGAGCTCTTCTGTCAACTCTTTGGTGGGCCTGCATGCGAATCCAGAAATTTTCTGTCCACTGACTGATTTCATAGGAAAATCTACAGTACTGTTTTATTCTGAAGTTCTATATATGGCTCATGACCCCCTGTCTGTTATACTGGCACTATTTCCCCCTCGATATTCCATGCTTTCTAAACTCTATTAATGATCCCTCCCCGCTTATAATTCCATGCATTACCAAGTACAGTACTTTTACATTCTGATACAGTGATGTCATAACTGGTACCAGTGGGAGAGGTTTGGCTAGCTTTAAACGTTTGGTCTGTTTTGTAACATTCCCCCCCCCCTTTAATCTGAGATCCAGTTTCAGAGGGCTCTCTCGCCCTGGGTGACCCTGTGCCTGCCCATTCACTCTCTCAGCCTCACCACTGAAGAAAAGGAGGGAGGGAATACATGTAACAAAGCTGGGAAAGATCTCCAAGATAGCCATTGTCTTGTGACATTCAG